GTAAATTTCACTGACTGCTAAGCAAAACGTAGGTGTTGATCAGCCATTGAGATTTGAAACACTCCTTGGAACTGCCAGTCTTAAATTTCAGAGCCAGATAGGAGTTTGCCCAATACAGAAAAGAACTGGAACCTCGGGGGGGGGGGGGAAAGCCATCATCTTAGATTAGTCCACCTCTTCTTTTTCTGCACTGTATCCCAGTATTCCTGTTAACACACAAAGCAGTGCATGATAAGGGGAAGATTTTCTGCCAAGTCCCAAAGGTGTCCCAATAAACTGTGTGTGGATTCCATTTAATTAGCTTTATTGGGGAAGGAAGAAGTTGAGCAGAAATGGTATGTGATTGAGGAAATTGAGTTTTATAGAGTCTTTTCTCACACATGGGTCAGTATGCTCTGGGTTAACGAGCCTGTAGCTTTTGTAGGCTAATTACTTAATGCTCTTTGGAGACCCTGTGAGATTGACTTAGATTTACAAACACAAGTTTCAGTCGAAACAGTTCTCAGAGGTGAAGGGACAGACCCTACCTGGGTTTGAAATGGCTGAGTCTATTTTCTCTTATGCATTTGCACAGCCAGCACACCACAGGGAGTTCGGCAGCGGTTTTCATTGAAAAGTCGTTGGGTTTGAGGTAGAAATGATACCACTGTGAAAGGTATAGCTGTCCTCATATATTGGGCCTTAATAATGCAGATAAGAGCTGGCAATTGAATGCACAGTTAACAGTTAACACAGTTAACAGTTGGTAATAAATGAGCTCAGCACCACAAGTTTTGAATGCTATGAGCGTGTTTTTAATGTAGTCTTTAAAAAGTTATTTTTTGGCATAAACTAAGAGAAATGTTTCTCTTGACCACCAAGTTATCCTTTTGGTTTAACCCCTCATTTCAGTCTGGTGTGAACGTTCCTTAGGAAGCTCCGGGGTGCCGTGGGAGGTGGAGCATCACCGCTCCACTCGTGTTGTGGCAGCAGAGGGCAGGCGCGGGCTGGACTCGGGTGGGTCAGCGGTCCCCAGCCCTCGGCAGGGCTGCAGCACATCCCGGGCACTCGCCAGGCGCTGGGACTCCGCACTGGGCACTTTCAAAAGGTGCTGTGTTAGAGGGACAGAGGGGACTGTCCTAACTCGACAGGAGTGCCTTTGGAAGGAGGAAATTTCAAATGTTTTTACCTTTTTCTCGTTAAAACAGAGCAGGTGGTTATTCCTTTCCTTTGCACTTGCTTTACAAGGGTTGTTTCCCCCTACTTCATAGTGATTTTCCTTCAGAGTTCTTTGGCTCTCGTGTTAAATACTGGCATATCTCTGTGTAGCACTGTAACTGAGAAGAACCTCTCAGCTTAGACGTCAGCAGATGGGAGCCATCCATTCCTGGGGCTGCCATGGCTGCAGAGCCAAGGTGCTGAAGGAGAAGGATTGAACACACCAGGGTCCTTTCCGTGGCCATTACCTTCTCAGCTACGTTTTTGTCTACTGGCATACAGGCAGTAGGATATGATCTGCTTTACATCAAGACAAGCTGGCCAGCAGCTCCAAGCTTTTTGTTGGAAAAGCTGACACCACTCTTGCAGTTCTGAGCATGAATTCATTATACCCAAACACGTGTCTAAAGACCACACCAGACCATTTTTTCCTTTTGGCGTAGACCAAACCCCTTGTGCTATGCTCTCTGTTCTTCCTCCAGTCAGCCAGTGCCCGGGCAGCAAAGCTAGCAGTTAGCTCGGGGGTCTGGGGGTAATCTGGGGCTTCTGCTGTTTCACCTTCCTTTCTGAGGACCGCTGACTCTGATCTGTAGTGGCACAGAGCATTTTATGAGAGACACTCATGCATTTTTGAGGCTACAACAAAAAGAGGTTTTCTTGAGTTGGCCCTACCCTCCACTAATTCGCACTTAGGGACTAATCTTATAATACACTGAGAGACTAATGCACAGCTCACTTCTCATCAGATTTCCCGGCAATCCTGAGCAATACCAGAGTAAAAGCCTCTAGCATTTCAGGTACCCTGATTTTGTTTTTAAAAGGCTCCTTTACTTTGTCCCCAAACAAAGTATGCTTTGTCTGGGACCTTCTGTTCTGCCAGGACAGAGTGAAGGAGTCTCATTGTGAATGGAAGTCAAGCTCTCGGGGCAGCGTAAAGAGAGGACTGGGTCCACATCCTGGCTCAGGAGGCATCGCATGTCACTCAGGCGTGGTAGCCACGCACCACACCTAAAAATCTATTGCACTATGTCCCCAGCAGACACATCTTACTGATGTTACACGAGTGAAATAAGTGTGTATTGTGGGTTTCATACCTTGTGTGACAAATAGATTTCATTTTTACTTCCTCTGTGTTGCTAATAGTCATTAACTCTCTGCTAATGGCTGAGAGCAGGCTGGATTTTTTGCTTCTGAGTCAGTCCCAGATACGAACTATAGTTCAGATGAAGCACTGTTGTGGTGCAACTGCCAGGTTAAGAGTTAACACATGCCCAAAGAGATGCTTTCATAGTATTACACCATTTGTATTCCACTAGTGCTCCGCAACCCGGTCATGATCCCAAAACCCCATTGTACAAACACTGAACAGAAGAATGGTGCCTATTCTGGAAAACTTAGTACATCATCTTTTGCTCTAACCAACAGAACATTGGTTTTGGCCCAGGAGACGTGAGTTCAGACTCCTGTTCTCTCAGCTAGGTGTCTGACCTTGAGTAAGTTGCTCTGCACTTTGATTTCTTCAAATATAAGGTGTACATGGTCATGAAAATGCAGGGAAAAGGTCTGGCAAAGGCTTCGCAGTTCCACTGCATCAGCCTCCTGCCCCGACGCCAAAGGAGCTCCTTCAGTTATGTCTGACGTACGTGGAATGTGGAACCGATTCTTAAAGACCTCCAAGGTGGAAAGTTGACCATCTCCTACACAACCTATGCCAGTTCTTCTCTAGCCTTGCTATTAGATTTTTGTTGGGTTTTGGTTGGTTTTGACCTCCAAAAGGCTATATGGAATTTCTCTTGCCTTTATGGCTTTTGGTAGATGCATCTCACATTTTACTTTGAGCTTTCTGATTTTCTGTGTTTGTGCTGTTCTTTTGTATGTGTGTGATCCATTTTTCACATTCTTTTAACTTCCTTCTTGTGTTTGAGATCAGTAAAAGCTTCTGATTTAGGAGTTAAGTCTCTTACTTCGCTTCCAATTTTTCCATTGCCAGCTCTTCTTAACTCCTTTCCCCCTTATAAATTATTTTCACATGAAATCTCACCTGCCAGTTCTCTGAGTTTATTGAAGTCCATTTTGTTGGTTTTTATTTTGCTGTTCTTCCTTTCCTCAGAGCTTTGAACTCTTCCTTTCTTTATTTCCCTTACCAAGTTACCTTTCATCCTCATGTTTTTGCATAGTCCTTCTCTGTTTTTTGTAGTAAAATATAGAAATCTGGATTCAAATTCAGTTCCTTTACTCCATCAGAATAGAAAATGTCACTACTGCCTTCAAAAATGTTCCAGTCCGTCAGGGTTCCTCTGTCCTACTTTCCACACAGATAGCTGGGCACTTAAAATCCCAGAGTTCTGCCAAGTCCTATGCTTTGGGTATTTCCTCTAGAAGCTCCAAGGAGAAAAGCATTAAATGGATCTTTTTGGTGACCTAGAGCAGTCATGCGGGCTTTCTTTCTGAAGTGTTTGAAATCTTTATGTTAGGTGGCCATATTATTAATTTTTATGTTGATCTTACCTTTTTTAAAGAGTGTTGCGTTCCATGAGCTGATCTTTCCTCCGGATATTGGATATCCGGAGGAAAGATCATCATATTTATTGGGATAGTATCCTGCGGGATAATGGCAATAATTTCCTCAGATCCTTTGAGGACAAGGATATGTTGTCACACTGTGGAAGATTAACTTAAAAATAACAGCTTTAAACATTGCTATTTGAGATGGATATGTCCAAGTTATGAAGTGATGCTTCAAGAGACCAAGAAGCTGCAGTAACCAGTGGTACATCCATTCATATCCCTCTGATTCCAGGGTCTGATATGCAGAGATCTTTCTTCATTCTCTCCATCTTTAATCCTGGGGCGTGCCATGTGTGGGGCACGGAGAGTGCTAAGCTCCGAGGCCCTTTGCGTCGGTAACAGTAGTTTCTCCTGGTCTACGCTAATTCAGTGGAGGCCGCAGAGAATTTTCACTTTACTGTTTTCTGTTACCATTTTACTGCTGGTCCTGCTCCTTCCGACTGCCAGTGAGATGGTTTTAGCCACTGAAACCCCAATGAAGGCTTTGGTTAAATCTTTCCCTGTACATGCATACCAGCACCTAGCAAGAACTGACAGATACGTATGTATGCTAATCAAAATTAATGCATTTTATCTTCTGCGTTTATCTGTCTTTGCGCTGGATTTCAAAACAAGGTGCTATGTGAAGATCTTGGTTTTTTGCAGTTGTCATGAGGCATATCTAATGAAGATGGCAGTAATAAAAATAATAACAACTGTTCCTGGCTAGCTCAGCAGAACAATAGTCACTTCCCTCTTTGTGTGGATATGGAGTCTCTTTCATGGATATATATTTTATTGGATAAACTTTAGCCACAAGTTTACACCCTGAGTAACATGTTCAAAACTGCTTCAATGAATTAACAGCACAGGTTCCAATTAAATCAAAAAGAATGCAGCCTCTAGAGACTGGAGGTGGTGCCTGTATGAGGATGCTGCCTAATTAAAGGTGTGAAGTCATTGACTGTGAAGGATATTGAACCAGCAAGTGGATCTTATCATTCGAGGGTGGTAGAACCAGAGATATCAGAACCGAGGATTAGCATTGCTAATCATGGTTGAAAGTGTAAATAACAGTCTATAGTTTAGATAAGCTGACAATGTGTGTCTGTCCGTCATTGTTCCAAGCGTGATGGCATCCTGCCTTCCACATACCGAGTTTGAAATTGGGGAAGGAAAAATGTAATGTCTAGACAGTAACACTTCAAGGAAGTTCAGCTATGTTGTGTACTTAAATGTCTTTTTCCTTCTTTCAGCTCTCTGCCCTAACGTCATAAATCAGCGGCACTTGAGAACTCTGAATTACCTCTTTTACAAGCGATTTGTTGAGGTACGTTTCTGTGTTGTGTGGCATGGGCGTGAATGGGGCTTCTTGTTTATTTTGCATTTTGCATAACATCATTGATATGATTGAAATGTAGTGATAGTATATGAGCAAGTTTTCATTGTGATTATTATTGTGTATAAATGTATTTGATGTGCCATTGGACCTGTTTTTTCTGTGAGTGAATAGTTTGTGTGTCCATTCATATTCTAATGATTGGGTGTCATGGTTGGTCAGAGCTGTTCATGCTTGTTCACCTCAGCATCCTCAGCACTGTTCTGAGACGCAAGTAGGTATGTCAGGGTATGCTCTCCGTACGTTCAGTTTCTTTCAGCCATCTCAAATAAGCAGGAGCATACTGGCTAAAGAATTTTTTGGTGTTTTGGGGTTTTGGGGGGTTTGTGTGTTTGTGGGGTTTTTTAAGAACACTAGGTTTTAGGCATTCCACATTGCTGGACTCTTTGTAGGCACTTTGCTTTGGTCCTTGTGGCCTGGCTGTGATAGGTATGGCCCTAACCTGCCACAGCAGCTTTTTTGTGCAAACAGCCTTGTTACTGCTGAGCAAAATGGTAGTACTTTCAGTTCCTGGACCACTCTTTGAACTAACTTTACTTTTGTCCAGCCCCCAAATTCCCTTTCCAAATACACTGGTACTTGTCCTGGCACTGAGGGCTTGTAAAAATAAGAAGATGCCATTAGTTCTTTTAAGGAGCAGGTTTCTAGGAGGCAGCTTGGAGTTGGCTGTCTGCAGAACAACTTGGCCATGGTTTCTCCTCCCAAGTCACTGCCCTTTGGATGCTCTTGAGGACACTGCATGGGAGAGCATATTCCTTTTCTTAACAGGGCAGATTTGGTGCTTCTCTTGATGGTCTGGCTCTCATCATTATCCTCTGCCTGGAGACAGATCATACCAGTTGAGAGTAAGTTTTTGTTCTGCCTTTTCTGGAAAAAACAGCTTGCAGTCGTCGTATCCTGGTGTATCAGTCGGACTGTGAAGGACAAGGACCACAAGAGACTCAGTATCAGTGAAATGTTTCCATTTCTTGAATTTTGACTTATCAAGTTGTATTTGCCAAACATGGAGTGGTGTTTCATTTGCAGTTCATAGAAGACTTTCTCCTTGTAGATACAAGAGGGTGTTTTAACAGAGTTTTAAGAGAGCCCAGCAGGTTGTTCAGATGTTCCTACAGTACTATTGATCCAGTTTTCAGAGAGCCAGTTTTCAGGAAATGAGACACCTCCTCCACAAGTGCCTGTTCCTTTGTTCAAAAGAGGATTCGTTTGATGCTGTGACAGAAGAAGGCAGATGCGCGCGATTTTTCCGATCCTCCACCTCCAGTACGTTGAACGCAAAGATGGGGCTGGGCAGTGGTGATCTGATGACTCCATTCTTGCACAGCCGGATCTGCTTCCAAGACCTCCTGTTCCATCAGTGAAGGCTCTAATCCGCCCTTGCTGCTGCCAGATGCGCTGACAGAAGACCGGGGAAGGATCAAGCATTTCAATGTCCTGCATCTCAAAGCTTTAATGTTGGATGACATCATTCTAGAGAGCTTGGTCATCTGCAGTGACAGTGTAGAAAGCATTTATCCAGGAGTACTTATTTAGCAGAGCAGAGTGGATTCATGATCTGGTGTACTGCTTTCTCTGGCCTTCCATTTCCTTTGTTTTGGAGTATTTGCTTGATTTAAAGTTTCCAAGCTGGCCAGTTACTTCCATTAAGGTACACTTGGCAGCTGCTTCTGGACACAGTCCTTCCTTCCAAGAGCTCTTTGGTGTTCTCTGTTTACCATTCTCAGCTGTGTATGAGATCTGGTTAAATGGCTCCTTTATCTCACTAGTATTTAAATTACATGCTTGTATATCTCAAAGATGTTTTCTCTGAGGTTCTTACTCCCTGTTTGCTCTTGTACCTTTCCATACAAGTGGCACTAGTACTCACTGCTGCCTCTGCCAGAAGTGGGGGTGAGGCTGGGGGGCTGAGCAGTCTCCTGCAGCCTGTGTTCTTGGCAGAGCGGAGAGCAGGGCCCATCCCGCCTTTCCCCCCAAGGTTGGCTCTGAACTACATCGGAATGGGGATATTAACTTATCAGTTTCCTTTCCCAGACCTCGTGATTCCAGAGGATTTTGCATGACTTGGCTAGTGAGAAAAGTTTGTATTTTTGTATCCTGAAGGCTCAGCCTTGCAGATAATCCCTGAGATCACTTCCCGTGCTGGAGCCTGGGGGGATGGCTCTCCGCTGGGCTGGCTGGTGGGGTGAACAGTCCGGGGGCACACTGCGCATCCGAGGCAAAGGCAGCTGCAACGGTCCATGCGTTCCACCAGACCATGGCCTGCTTCAGCTTTGTTCAGCGGTGTGTCTGTCATGGCAAGAGCGCCATCTGAGCTTTGAGGCGTTCGGAAATGCTGCTGCACTTTGCAGAGTGTTATTGAGGTGATTGGTTTTCTGCAAATGAGCCCAGGACCCAGCTCTGGGTAATAACGAGAGTTCAGGCTACTGCCGGGTAAGGGCCTGCCGTGCCTGTGCACTTTGCATATGCATTTTTTTCTCTTATGTGCTGTAGTTTAACAGTTGTCTGAATGACTTCATCTAAGCTGTGTTTTTCTGCCATGCCCCGGCTGGTGACATATGAGAAGCAGAGGTTTCTCGAGTGCTCCAGAATGCATTCCTCAGTCACGGCTGATGCCAGTGTGTAAGATGGCGTGTTAAATTTCAGCTCGCTCTATGTAGCATTCTCCCTTTTCCTAAGACGGCTCAGAAATAATTTTGTCTTTTCAGAAAACCATGACTCAGGAGAACTGGACAGATCACGTTCAGGTGAGTATGGATTTCCCTCTCCCATTTTCTCAGGGTTATTTGCTTGGCAATGATTTTAAGATGTTGACAATATCCAGCTCTGGATATTGTAGTCCTGTTATTACAGTTTAGCACTTTCTCATAACTTTGTAAGTATATAGCAAAATTGTAAATGTAGGGAAGAGCAAGGAAGAAAATGTATATTTTAATCCCTGTTATGTCTTTAAAAATGCTCTAGTTTGGCTGGAGCATGTAGGTAAGATTATCAAGTACATTCTTTTGCTTTCATGCTCTTATTTGTAAGTGAACATTACAAATATTTATATTGTTTAATTACAAGGAGGGGGGAACAGAGAGTTCTCTTCAGGCACTCGCCAAGATGCGTAAGTAAATTGGGAAGTGTTAGATTCCCTCTGTGTGCTCCACTCTGATAATTTTCAACAGGTTTATTAGGTGACTGTTAGATATTGTGACTTCTACGTCTTGCGCTGTAGGAGACACGTAGTTTTAATAACACAGGAAGAAGGAGAGCAGTATTTCTTCTTGGTGTATTAACAGGTGAGTTCAGGCAGCTATGTTTTGGCCTGATACTACAATAAATGCATACATGACAATGAAATGTCAAGAAATTATATGGTTGCAAACCATTAGTGAATATTTATGTGTCCATGATATCCCTATGGAATTGCAACCTTGTGGTGACTCTTTGCTCCTTTTCTGTAACTCCTCTCAGTTTGAATTCTGAAGCCGTTGAGGATTTCTGACCATCAGCTCGAGGCTTCCTTTGAAAACCTGTTTGAATGCTCAGTGTGGGCCCCTGAGCGCTAGCAGGCCAGTCTGATGACTGATGATCTCATGCGTTTGGGATCTTGGGCACTGTCCGTACACACCAGCAAAATGACTGAATTTTAAACATGAGATGTT